CCAAAAATCTCTGTAAATGTTCATTAAAATTAATAAAATAAAATTTAAAAAGATAAAGCCATAAATGCAAAGGCAGGAGCTTAAATGGCATATAGTTATAGTTTCATAAGAGAAATTATAAAAGACAGTGCTGTTTGGTTTACAGTGAATAAGTCAGTCAAAGGCAGAAATTCGGATTCCATGGGTGTAGATTGTGTAGCCAAATAAGATCAAACCCTTGGAATAGCAGTCTTTTCCATTTATAATGATATTTCCTGTTAGTCCCATCATGAAGATTTTGTTTTCCTGTGTCGAGGTGTGCTCTTTCCAGAAGGCTACCCATCTTTGAGCTTTCCTAGTAATCTCAAGTCGGTTTTGTTTTTTGCAAGTAAGGCACCATCTTAATGGCCCTCAAGTCAGTACCTGGATGATTACTGTGATTTTTCCACACCAGCCTTGGCCTACTGCCATGGTAAACCCACGTGTATTTACTGCCTTGACAGTAATCTTGTTCTTTGAATGGTTTTTTTGCATTTTTCTATATGCTTCCCCAGTTTACCCATCTAGTGCATACCAACAAGAAATTGCCCCAACAGCCTTGGCTTTCTTCCCTATCCCCTTGGGCTTTCCCACTGAGCTGATTTCTAAGGCTCCGGACAAAGACAAAAACTTCTGTTCTTATATCCATGCTCCCAGCCTTCAGATTGGCAAGTACATTCATCATACTCTTAAAATTAGGGACTATTTTTTCCCCCAGGGGGAGTTGGCAGCAAAATAGTCTGTGGAGAACCCTAAATCCCATCTTACCCTTCTATCTATCTGAATAAAGGTCATCTATTTTACATTAAGTACAAGTAATTTGCTATTCCTTTTCCTGCCTTTTATGAGTAGAAAAATCATAGAAATAAAATGAAATCGTATCTATCCTTAACCTGTTGATTGCTTTCTTATGGGTTCACTCATAGATGCAGAATGTGAAGCCCTCTCTTCAGAATACATTCTACGGTCATAAAGAGCACGACAGGCTGGAAATAAGCTCATCCTCAGTATTCAGAGACGTGACCAGATTGTCCTAAGGTCATACCAAGGACAGCACTCCAACCACAGTATAAATCATGAGAATCCAGGTACATTTTTTTCCAATCTATTTTTAAATATAATACCCCATGTCCTCTTGATTAAATGAAAAAACAAATCCTTTAATAAATCAGAACAAAAAATATGTATAAATTCCTCTTTGGTCTATGAACCCTCCAGTTTGTCAAATGAAATTATTTCAATCTTTCCACTTTCTCTATACCTAATAAAGATTTTTGGAGGTGGGAGTGGCATCCATTTCCTCAACAACATGGACTTTGAGAAATGATGGTTATAGAAAGGCTTCAGGTCTTTTTTTCACAGGGTCTCTATGAGCCGCACTCTACAACAATCAGCAACCATAAAAGTTTGAGAGTGTCAGAAATTTTCAACTTTTACTCTATGAATAAATACCCTCTTTTGGGCTTAAATATTCTAAATGTACAGCAATAGATATTATTAAACGAAAATGATTCCCACTGCTATCAAAGCAATTTCAACTCACAGAGAGCCTCTGTGAGCTTTCCAAGTCTTTGTGTCCTAATGGAAAGAGAGTGACCATCTCTCTCCTGATGATGGAATAGTTGGAATATTCCAACCACTAACATTTTTGTTAGCAACCCAGCATGTAACACACTACACCAGTAGGGCTCCTTAAAGCTATTGTAGACATTTAAAAGTATCAAAATAACTTATCCAAATCACTTATTTAAAGTATTTGAATGAATCAGTAACAGAGTACAGTAATCATAGATTATAGACTATTTTGAGATCCAATTCTAAAAAGAATGGTTCTCTGAACGAGATAATCATTCTCCTCTAAGGAGTAATTGTCTAGAAAAAGTAGCACCTGGGTCTAATCAGTCAGCTCACTAACATGTGTTTAGATTTCCTTCATTTTCCGTGGTAGGTCCAGGGAATGCAGCACTAAGCAACACATAACAATCCATGGACCAAATACTTTAGGAAGAGTTAAACTTGAAAAATA